AACACCGTGTTTTGATTCCCAATGATAAGGAAAAGCGTAAGGTACCAAGAAGGTCCCTGGCGTTCTTTGTTCACCCCGATGACGATACAGTGGTCGAGTGTCTCGATGGTTCCAACAAATACTTACCAATAACAGGAAAAGGCTACTTGGAACAGAGATTTGCTGCAACATATAAGTACTGATTAAACAAACCAATGACATCATAAAATCTGATGACGTCATAAAACTGATGACGTCACTAGAACGGATGACGTCTCGTTTTTGACCATTTGCAGTTTTGATCTAAATATAGTTTGAATCTCTCGTGAGTGGACAGTCTTGGACGGACAATTGGTTCAAGAGCCGTGCRCACATGAGAAAATGTGAATACAGTGATTTTGTGGAAAGAAATAAAAAGGAAACATAAGATAAAACAACGACAAGGAAAATAACAAAGGTGTTTTTAAAGCTGTCTTTAATTAGAGCATCGATAAGTGGAAATTAGAGTGTAGTTCGCCACTTGGACTTTTCTAAATATGTTCTGAGGATAGTCTGATATAAAGTGAATGTGCTTGAAATATTACATCCTCCCATGTAGAGGAACCGATGGGTTCCTGGGAGAAATATATCTGTTCTTATGTCCCAGCCAGCTGTAACTGCTGTAAGTCATAATTGGTTGTCAGCAAAGTTAAAATGGATTCAGAAATATATTTTTTAAATCAAGAAAAGGAATAGGCTGTAGGAAACTCTTMACGATCTTTTCAGGAAGGAAAATCCCAAATATCTCTTAAATCATGGCTTTTAAGTGCTTTAACGACCGTAAGGGAGAGTTTTTTTCAATTTAAAATTCTAGTTCTAAATATCACTTTCTAGGAAGAAAAATCGTATAACAGTTATATTTATAATAGAAGAACAGACCTGGTCGGCTCCTCCTGTCTTGTGGAAAAACAATATCGATATCTTAATTGTAAAGAAAAATTTTGTCCGTTTGACCTTGACTTAACTCATGAATTGCGTAAGTCTTGTAATTCATGACTCGTGCTGCATTAGAACAAAGGCCGAGATGGTTAACCTTGTCTATGTAGGGTCGCTGCGCAGGATATTTGATCCCAAACTGCTGATATTGGTTAAAGGATTTTCATGGCTCTTTTCGCGTAATAAAACGTCCCATTTTGGAATCATCTAGTAGTTCAAACATTTCTTTTTTTATGATATTAGAAACCTGACGGGGAAACAGTTTGATTTGGAATCATTCACAGTTAAGAAATTCTGGCTCAAAAGATAAAATATCAAAGGTTTTAGTCCATGACGTCATGGACTGTAATATTTTAAATTATTTATTGAATTTTAAGAATAGTACTAAAAACATGTTGCTTATTGATTAATGATTAGATATTCTGTTTTTCACATAATTTAATTTTAAAGTAAATTGTGTCGTAAAATACCTTTTTTTCTTACTTCCACTATGTAGAGAACTCGAATGTGTTATTTTCACTATCAGACTAGTACGAAAATCGAGCATAGCAACAATAGTCGAAAACGAAAATCCTTCAAAAAAAATCCCCTAAAAACATGATTCGTACCTTGAACCACTACAGCAGTAACAAACGTGACAAGAGGCTGACCAGCGAGYTCACAAATTCAAAGATCAAACTGCTTAACTCTTAGAGTCTTGATGATAACTCGTACAGCGCGTAAATATACCAAACGAGTTCAAAAACGCAAAGATCAAACTATGCGATACACCTTTTCAGTTGCACTTAGGCCTCGATAGCAAGTTAATTATTCTTTTGAATTTTGACAAATGAGACTATTCRTATCAATGTTTGCATTGCTGACATTCCTACAAATTCAAAAGAATATTTAACACGCTGTCGAGGCCTAAGAGCCGACTGAAAAGGTGTATTCTTTCAGCATTGATGATAACTCGCCATGCGCGTGACTATACCAAGCGAGTTAACAGATGTAGCTCTTATAGCACTGAT